TTTCCTTTTTGTTTCCAAAACCAAAATAAAGTTCGTACCATGAAGACACTGCAAAAATAGTTACATAGATTTTTGAGTTGGAGAGAATAGAATAATAAATGTTAATAAGGACAGTCATATAAGCAGATAGGAGAAAATATAATGTGTGCTATGGTGCTCTCTGAACAGTATGTGATCTTGTAAGTGAAGAGCTGATTATAAGACAGATGGCACAAGAGCAGCAAATTAGGAGCTACCAAACTTTTGCTTGTGCACAGTGCAAACCAAAGAATGTACTTTCAATGTCTTTCTTTGAGAACATTTTACAAAACCCATCATAAAATCTGAAGAGTTTCATTACTAGGTCATGGTAAATGTCCTTAGTCACCAATCGCCACTGTATATTTACATCTAGAAAAACGTACGGCCACCTGTTGCTACTACTACAACTGTTTAAGCTCAAAATATTCACTACTTGAACCAGCCACTGTTCTTAGTTACCTTTTCCTCATGCTGCATCATATACTGCCCTGCTCCTAATTTGAGCCATGTTTTCCTTTGTTGCCCATCTGCTGGCGATGTACTTACAGCAGCTGGTATTCATGTGTGAGTAACTTTCTCTCCCTCTCTACATTCAACTCCAGCTGAACTTTTATAATCCAGTCTTTACTTGCACAGACAATTTTTTATTTCTCCAAGTAGCTAATCTCATGTAACTTCTTGACTGTCTGCATGTCAGAGTGGGCCAATCTTATACTCCATAGAATGCAACACCACGATAAACTGACAGCAAAAAGAAACACACAAGCAAACAAGCAGAACACCCCAGGTAGTGGCACATTCAGACTGAACAGACTAGCTGAAAGATCATAAGGCTTCTCATAGTGCCATGTATTGAAAAGAGGATGCATCAGCAAATGATGCCTCCTACAGACACTGGAGAGAGAGAGTGGTCTCGCAACAAAAAGGACTCAAGTGTATTCTATATGCAAAATGTACACATGGACTTCCTCTGTCAAAGCCATCAACACTCCCATGGATGCTTAGCACATCTTCCACAATCTCCTGTCATAAGGAGGCCTGTATTACAATGGGCATGGTAAAGACACAGTAAGTAGGCAGATGGAGGAGTTACAACCAGAAATATGCATGACACTATTTTCCATGCATAATTACTGATTAGGCCCCAGTTTTTCAAATTCAATCACATTAGAATTTCTTTTTTTGTTCTATTCACTCTCCATAATTAAGGTTATTTATAGATGACAAGAAACTCTTCAATCCCGGTGGAGTAAAATAGGGTAACTGGTAAAACAGTGATAGAAACATCTATTCTGGTTTAAGACGCAGGCAGAATAAAAAAAGCCTTTACATGTTTAAACATAAGCTTTATAAAGAAAAAAATCTGAGATTTATTTATCCATTTTCATACTTAGCGGATTCTTCAAGCTTGTTTTCAGAAAAAAACTGATCTCATGGTTTTGGAATGCGTCATTTCTGAAATTATGTGTGTTTTTATGCATTTATTAGTAAAAAGGAGCTATTTAAAAGTAGCCAAACCTCATCACTTTACTGAATAGAGTTTTTTTTCCTCTCATCAAAATAATACTGCAAAAACCAAAACCAAAACAACCCATATTCATTGCATCCCTCCAGCACGGATAATACTCTGGATCAGGTTTTCCACCAGTTTTCCAGCCCTTTTATAATAGTTCAATCTGAGTCTCCTTGCTTTACCCTAGCAAGTTTAATGCTGAGGCATACATCGCATCCCCATATAGCAGAAACAAATTAGCTGGCTCTGATGTGACTTCTGCTTGACAAATCTGTGTTGACTTGTACTTATCATCTGGTTAGCTTCTCACTGCTAATAGTTTATTTGTTCCAGAACCTTTCGCATTTGTCATCTGACTGTAGCTTACCTTAGGGAGATTGAAGCAAAACAGCTACTAAATTCTCCAGTTATCTTGGTAACATCTGCTGATAGCTTAATGTCCCCTTTAATCTCTTCAGTTATTTCATGATTTTGTAAAAAAAATATATTTGCTGGTAAAGCATTATAGAATTATTCTTTTTTTCTCCTTGATGTCCTTCGGTAATTGCATTTTTTTTTCCTACAATTTTCTGTCTCTTCCCATCCCTGCTTGTGCAATTTCATTAGTTTCTCCTTTTTTATATTTCCTTCCAGACTCCATTTCACCAAAGACTACGTGATACAGACTTTCTGATGATTCCATATATACAATTTCCTTCATATTGAAACAATTTGCTTTTGTACTCTTCAATAGTATCATTAAGAAAGCGACAACTCTCAGATTTCTTTTCTCTGTATCAGTTTACCTATCTTTTTGTGATGTTTATTGACATCTGCCTTACTGAAGTTTACCATCTGTACATTAGCATTATCTTTCTTTCCTTTTCTAGTTACTATCAACTCTATCATTTCATGATCATTCATCCCAAGGTACTTCTCACACTTGGGGCTGTACTCCCCATTTGACTGTAATCAAAACTAGGTTAATAGTCTCATTATTTTCTGCTAACTTCCACATGGCAAAGAAATGGAAGTATTCAAGTTTAGGAGGAAAGATTTTGTTGCTACACTAATGCTTTCTGTAGGTAAGAATATATGACAATTTTTGCATCAAAAAATGCCAAATACTTTAAAACATACAAATAAAAGATTTCTATCTCTTTTCATATGAGCCATTAACTCATACTCTGATTGACAGGTTGTTTCTGTTGTGGACTGAAGTAAAGTTTTGACGCAGACATTCATCCATCTAGTTCTAGTTACTTTTCATAATCCTGTCAACAGTAAAAATTAAGTCACTTTTCCCCATTTTTTACCTCTATGTTCTACCCCTCCAATACCAACATGCTTATTCTTGCTATCCGTATTTCCTCACTGTCATCTTTGGCTGCTTCTCATTTCTAGAAAGCACAAACCATTGAACACAGAACAGATCCACATTTGTATTCAGAACCTGGGAATATATCTCAAACTGCATTTCAGCTCCTGCTCCAACCTTCCGATTCCTAATCCATAACTTGTACATGCTATTACTTCAGCTCTTCAAAGATACTGGAGCTTTCACCAGTTCTTCACTTAACCTAACTGGGAAATAACTATTGCAACCAGCAGATTCCATAAGGTTTTTAATCTACTCTATGTCCAAAGCAGTAACACTGAAAGCCAGTCAACCTCCAATGTGAACTGTCTGGGCAAGGAATTTATCAACCTTGAAACCATTTCAGAAAACTCAATTTGTCTTTTTCATTTAGAATGCAGCGTGCAGGAGCTTTGCTTTTTACCTTAATGTACTGTCTCCTGAGAGGAAAGAAACTTAATCTTTTAAAATAGATACGAAAAAATCATTCTGAATTTGCAGCAGCGTGTTTGTCTGTTTTCTGGCTTTAACTTCCTTCACTAAACCAGAGCTCAGCCTCATTACACATTTCTTCTCCACCACTCTCTGGGACACAAGAAAATGTAAAATTATGCTGTTCTCACTGCATCAGATCACTGATGAAGAGCTAAGTAATAACAACTGTTTGCACATCAAAACATTATTATAGATATTTAAAAGTGCCTGAACCATTCTTTTGCTTTTTCTCACTATTATTTTCTTTTTTTAATCATTTGCAAACCCTCTTTGAGGCTTTCCCACTCAATGTTTACATACTATGCAAACTGCAGCCCAAGATAATTCATCTCCTTTTGAGGCAATTTCTGAGACCTTTCATAGTCAGGGGATCAGCTTGTCCCTTCCCCTTCCCTGCAGCTTCCTTCATCTAAATAATCTGATATTTTACTGCTTTGAGGTATGAACTAATTAATTGTGCATATTTTTTGTTTTGTTTTTCCATTTTCACCTTTCCCTCTTAACACCTATTTTTTGTTAATTCTCTCAATAGGGGAATTAGAGGCATGTCCTCCCTAACTACATCAAAACAAGCATTTCTCACCTCGTGGGGGTGAAATAAACATGATGTAGTACCAGCTTAGGCATTCTTGCCATTTTCTGCAAAATGATCTTTGAGTTGCCTAACTAAATGGTGGCAGACATGTATTTATAAACTGCAGTCAAGAGCTTTCTAATATAGACCACTTTTTTAGTGGGATGTATTCTGAAGAGCTACAAAACTGTTACCACTCTACTCTGAACCCTTTGGGTCTCTTTCCTCTGTTTAGAACAAATCTAAACCTAATTTGCTGAAAATAGGACAGTTTTGACCACAGTAGTGGCAAACATGGTCTGTGCCAACTCTCAGGACATGCCTTAATCAAAACCCAAAAAACCTCACAAACACGGTGTACTTTAGATCAAGCCACACTTTAGCCTAAGATACACCTACTTAATTTCTGAGACACAGTGCATACGCTGCAGTACTTTTTACATATTCTGATGTTTTCAAAACACATGCTTGTAAACAAAAAATACAGCACGTATCTTATTTGCTAACATTAGTAACAATTACCCCAATGTCCTGAGCAGCACAGTTGTCCAGTGTAGACACAGGGATGAATATGAATAGTTCACTTTATATTGATAGCAAGAGTAATGAAAACAAGCTATACTGTAACATGCCTGCAAGGCAAAGAGTGGGTTTTGCATTAAAGAGCCTCAATTCAGCACCCGAATAGCAGCCCTCTTTCCAAAACAGGCATACACCATGGTCCTGCCATTACTGGTATTTCTTAAACCACGGCCCTAAAAAGGCAGCTACTAAACACTAAGACCTCCAGTAATATGTGGAGGCAAAGTCAGAAACCTGAACACAGTTGAATTATTCTGTGGCTTTAATTCTTTGCTTATATGTAAGCACAATATGTCATATGCAATGATCAGTATTAGTGATGTTCTCGAGCATGCAATGCAGGGCTGTCAATTTATGATTTATCAGCTTTGTCCTTCCAGTTGTGTCACAAGAACAGCTCATATGTTTCTCTCCAACGTATTTGCTTTGCTCATAATCTTTTACCTAGTAAGCTTTTTAGTTACTTGATACAGTCCTACCTGATCTGCTTGCCCTCTCGAACATCGTACAGAGAAAAAAAGACATCTGTGTCTTCTCCAATTGTATTGTAGGTGAAGCTCTTTAGACTGAGGAAGAAGTGATGAGGCACTGGCATACGACAAGCTTCCCCGTGACGCTGACGAATCGTATCCACCTGATTAAAAACAGTAACAGTGACTTTAAACTCTTCACTAATAAAGGGCACGTGACCAACGTGATAACTTTAACTGAGATTCTGCAGTACTTTCTCCATCACATAAAACCTGAATCTCAATATACCCTGCTTCAGAGATGCATGCCAGATTAAGTTTTCATACTGGTTTTCCCCACTTTTAATTTGAATAGTTTGAGAAACCATGATAACCAACTAGAGATAAATGATTTATGCATTTGCAATCCATTTTTATCAAGAGACCAATTACACCTATTTCTCAAATATTGTCTTGATTCTGGTACTGAAAACAAACTATTTTAAAGTGGTGGTAGGGTGGCTCTTGAAGATTTCCATTTAAAACAGATGGACTTCAAAGCATTTTTTAGAATAACATTTGTTACCTTATTTCTTTGCAGCAACTATAATTCATTTATGGAGGTCACTTATGGGGCCCAGCTAGACCAGGGAAGGGATTTCCCCAACCCCCCCCCCATACTTGCACTGGTGAGGCTGCACCAATGATAGGAGAAGAGGAAATGGCCTCAAGTTGCATTAGATTTAGACTGGCTATTAGGAAAAATTCCTTCACTAAAAGGGTTGTTAAACATTGGAACAGGCTGCCCAGGGACGTGGTCGACTCATCATCTCTGGACATACTTAAGAGACATGCAGATGTGGCACTTAAGAGACATGGTTTAGTGGTGGACTTGGCAGTGCTTGGGTAATGGTTGAACTCAATGATCTTAAAGGTCTTCCCAAACTAAACAATTCTATGATTCTATGATTTAGAGCCAGGCTCTACAGGCTAATATGTCCTGCAGGTATATAAAAAAAAAAACAACATCTTAACATTGGTTGATAACATGAGCAATCAATAAAGTCAAAGAGAATCGCAGAACAGCTTGGGTTGGAAGGCACCTTAAAGATCATCTGTATTCCAACACCCTGCCACAGGCAGGGACACCTTCCACTAGACCAGGTTGCTCTAAGCCCTGTCCACCCTGACCTTGAACACTGCCAGGCATGGGGCAGCCACAGCTTCTCTGGGAACCTGTGCCAGCGCTTCAGCACCCTCACAGGGAAGAACTTCTTCCCAGTGTCTAACCTAAATCTCTCCTCTGTCAGGTTAAGTCATTCCCCTTTGTCCTGTCCCTACATGCCCTTGTAAAAAGTCCATCTCCAGCTTTCTTGTTGGCCCTATTAGGTACTGGAAGGATAGCAGAAAGGTTTATATTTTGACTCCGTATATTGAGACTTTTTTATAAACAGTGAAAATTGGGGTAGAGATAAGAGAAAGAAGCATAATTAGAAATAAGTTTATTGATCAATATTTATAGCCCTTTATATCTTTTCTATGCTGATCTTAATAAACAGGTTGCAGGAATACCCTAAGCTCACTAGGCTCGCCTTCTCCAAGTGCACAGACAGGTACGCACTAACAAAGAAAAGTTTGAAGTTTTCAGACTTGAAAACTAGATTTGTACTAGCTTTAAAAATAAAGATTCAATTGAATTTTGTTCTGGATTTTAAATTAAATCCAAGTAAATCCTCATCCTTTCAAGACCGGTACCTGTGAAAGGACAGGTGCCTTGAAAAGATTAGATCCAGATTCCATGACCAGGAATGGATTACGTTACTACAGAAAGGATACGTGAAACAGAAGCTTAGTAAGCCATGTGTTAGCAGGTGGAAAGACAACTTACATACACAGAGAAAGGCTTCTGATTTCACTACAAAAGTTATCTTTTAAGAACAACAGTTAGAGCTAAGGAAGAGAGACCTAAACAAAAGCTGAAGAAGGACCTCAGTCAGATCATTACTTGGGGATCTCCTGAGGAAGTGTTCTATGGGTAGGGACTTAACCAACGATATCCATCATGCATTTACATACAGTACCAATACCTTAAAGACAACAAAAATCTGTATGTAGATGATGTTTACCTGTGATGTGCTCTGCTGGACACTGTGTCTACTTGACAAATGCTGTGGAGATACAAAACAGTAACACTTAAACCTTTTTGAAAGTAAGAAATACTTACATTATATCTGTGCAGCATTAGAATAGTCATTTAAAAATGTGACTGTTCAAGGTTATGACCAGATTTTCACAGCCATATTTGACAGTGTATTATCACTCACAAGACCACTAGCTTTCCTAAAGGCTTCTCTCAGGTAAGCCATTTCTTAGCCTAACTACTTGAATTTACAGGTAGTAAATTAGCTTTTAAAGTTAATGGCTGTAATCAGCTAGACAGAATTTCCAACACTGTAATAACATTTCTTTCTGAAAAGTCCATCACCCTATACCGTAGAATTTATGTATTCTTTTGCTAAATGGGGAAATACCTCAGTACTAATCCTCACCTACCAGTATGTTGTCTATGAAAAGATGCATTTGTTCAAAACACAGATATGGATTTTAGACTTTGCTTAAACTTATTGTTCTGATCAGAAAATTAAATTCTGATAAATGGTTAAAGACTTTTCTACAATTTCAGGTGACCAATACCTGTAAAGAAGCATTAAAATAAAGAGCTGCATCCCCAAAACGGAACTCAGATGCTGTACTTAAAGTCTTTCATGCTAGAAAATGTTATAATCAGAAAATGGACTGCAGGACTCACTGAACCCATTTAATCTCCGAGGGGAGATTTAAATACTAATCTAAATTGAAAAGGTTTCAGAGAGCTTTAACAACCATATCATTAATGATTCTGCTATGCCTGTTCCACACACATTCATCTTAACATTAGCATTTTAAATTGAAATATTGACATTAACACTACCACATGTTACTAGCCATTCTCTTCATTTGCCTCCTTTTATTACATATCCAACATCTTACTCTGACCAAACACATACACTCTGTAACAGGACTAGCAATCTGTTGATAACCCCATAGCTTCAAAAGAGATAAGAGCCAAAGAGCCCACAAAACATACTAGGCAATACTTTTTTTCAAGCTTTGTCACTGTCCTTCACACAGAACCAAAAAAAGACCTTTTACTACAAAAGGAGAGATAATCTTCCTAATGAGACTACATCAAGAAGATATCAGGGTGCGAGGGAGCTGGCAGAAGTGCTCACAAGCCACTTTCTATCATTTATCAGCAGTCCTGACTAGCTAGGGAGGTCCCAGTTGACAGCAGATTAGCAAATGCGATGCCTATCTATGAGAAAGGCTGCTTTTCTCTGTATCCACTAGGCACCTTCATGTTCTGGAAGTGAACTGGAACTTTTAAATTTAAACTGCTTATTCTGAACAAGTTCACAGTCACTATTACCCATTTCCTTCTTGCAAATAATTGTGTTTTTTTTCTGTTCCAGCATTTTTTACAGGGAGAGAATGATCACTGGATCCTCTTTCTCCATCACATTTTCTTAAGTTGTAAAGTACCCTTGCCCTGTGCCAGCATTCTGGAACCTTACCCATCTTCCCAATGATTACTACTAACATTTCTGATTTGGCTTCTCTAGACATTCCGAATGAAATAAGTACGTAGTTCTAAATACCCTGGAACCAGTAACTACTGCATGAACTTCCCCACACACCATTCAGGTGTGACTCCCTTCCCTCTTCCACAGGTATTGTGACTTTATCCCCTTACTAGAGCTTGAGGGAGGCAAAAAGCATCTTAAGCACCATGTTACTTTCTTGCATCATGTGCAAGATTCCCCCAGTATAAAAACTTTTTAGTTTCCCAGTTACTGTTTGTTCAAAAAACCAAAAACTGTTTCTTGATACAACTGCCAATATTTCTTTGTTATATATTAATTTGTGCATTGCCTTTCTAACTGTTCTATTAACTCATTTATGCTATTCCATTATACTTTTCTGTACTTCTCTTCTTCTATCCGTGCTCTTACTTATCTTAATTTCCCTTCACTCTAGTGACTGAAGGCAATGAAGAATTCTTAATTTATCCAACTTGGCCTGTTAGCAAGTATATTGTGGTTTTGGTTTGGATTTACTGAAAGAACTATCAACCCTACCTACTTCCTTCCTTCCCATCAAACTTGCTTCTCATGATAACTTACCTACCAATATTAGCTTTTATTGTTGTTATTCCTCCTTCCCTTCCTAATGATACTTGGAAAGTGAACAAGTCCTGTCATTACCAAGTCAACCTCAAACAAACCACCACCTATCTCCATTTTGTCAACTGATGTCTTCTTACTAGGGGTTAGAACCAAATGTACACAAACCTGTCCTCTCCCAGTCTTTATTAGACAGTCAAACAACTGACAGATTTCATGAGTTCCCTGCAGTTTGTGCCCAGTGGGTTTTCTTTTCTAGCAGAGGTCTGGGCAATTGAAGCCTCTATTTGCAATTTTTATAACTGTGCGTTCTTACCAATCTTGCTTTCCGTTTGAATAAAGAATAAGCAGTTACGAGGTGTGGCAGCATTAACTTGGCTACTTATTAGGAACACCTGCTGGTGTTTTTCAGATAGTTGAAAGTAACGGCTAACAGCCAGCAGTAACACAGCCGATAGGGCTGTCTTACACACACCTGAAGACACATACACAAATCAGTAAATTTAGAGAAAAGCCGAACATATTTGATCACCGGGTTTCACCATTTCTGATTTCTGCAAATGTCTCCAACATTCGGGTCTTGTGACCCCCTTCACTAAAAAACACCACTCGAGTTTTTCTGACCTTCTGCTGGACTTGTGCTGCTAAATGACAGCTTCAGTCTAGTGGCAACTGAGCTCTGTGGCAGGATTCTGAGCACGGATTTTCCCCCAGTTTCAAAAGCCATGTGAATTATAAAAATGTGTTCCATCGTATTAGCTTAAATCACAAACACTGTCCCAGGGAAAGGGCAATCTGGTTTCCTTCAGGAGTAAAGCAATGATTTCTGACAGAAGTTGTGCAACCTGAAGCCAACAGTATTTAGCTTCACCGTGACTAACCTGGAGAAACGGGATCTACAAGGCCTCAAAGCACAACAGTTCTGACAGAGATGAATACAGTAGTCATACAGGAGTCACAAATACACTCAAGCAATAAAACTGACAGCTGAAAATGGTGCTCAAAATTGGAAATATACTTAAAATTTACCAAGGAAAGTAATTCTGAGTCTAATGACTCTATAAAATGCCCAAACCGGCTGTCACAGGTAGGAAAGCCTTATGTGCCACCTCAGCCATTGTTTTGCTAATATGAGACTGTTTCCTAAGTTACATTTAACATTCTACAATCCTGCAAGCAAGAGAGACTAATTGGGCTCTCCCAACTACTCCTGCAAGATTATTTTACAACCTTGTTGCTCATTTGAGAAACTGCTCAGTATTTTGCCAGGAAGGAGGATTCTCTCCCCAGCTTTTTGTGAAATAACAGAAGCCACACCAAACCCCTCAGAACAACAGAACACCCACTCATATTCCCCTATGCCAATTCCTGATCAATTTGAGTTAAAAAGATAACAGGTTTTCAGCTATTTTCATTCCTGAAAGTGCCTTCTAGCTACAAACTAGATACGATAAGACAGCAGTGTCTTCTTGAATCTACAAACTAAAGCAAGAGACAAGCATGAACTGACTAATGGTCATGTCCTGATACCAGCACAGCATTGAGCAGCAAACTCTGCTGTGTGCATTTTCTTCAGGACTAAGATGGGTGACATAATCAGACTAATCTGACAATTCATTAGCTATCTGCTGTACTCCAGGTATTCAGCGTAAAAGAACCCTGCAGAATGAAACAGTAATAAAGCAATCCTATTAGCAGCTTGCCTGGCATTCTCTGAGTCATCACTAATTGAATTTTGTACTGAGTTATTTCTATACTGTATTTGAAGGAAAACTCTGCTGGAATCACACCAAACTCACCTCGAACTACGGCAAATCAGGAACAAACATCAGCAATACTACGGAACAATGAACTTCAATATTTCTTATGTAACAACTTTAATTCCTTTCCATGAAATCCACTGTTACACGGTGCAAAGAATCCAAACCAGCAACAGCATGTTTAGAAAACATGCCTTTGTTTTATAGAGGAAGTACCTCTTGCATATCAAACTCCTCCCACCTAGGCATGGACCTGTCACTCTCTAATCTTAGGTAGCTGAAAGCCAAAACCATTTTAAAATAGGAAATTAAAAGCTTACTAGAAGAGAGGGACACTGTAACAATATTTATTTAGATAACCCACTATTTTCTTTCGAAGACATTAAGCTAAGAAATTGTATTAAAGTAACTGCTGGTCTGCTTGGTTGTTGTGGGTTTTTTGTTTCCCCTCAGGAAAGGTTTTCATTCAGTTTTCACTGAACATTCCATGCTGCTTCTCCATTTACACTAATATCATTAACCATAACAAAGTTAACTGTATTACACAGTCCTACTAACGAAGAAACCAACTGCAGTTAAATTGTAAAATGCATTAGTGGCTTTACAGGTTATTAATGGCACAATCCACATTTCTAAAGCAACCTTAACTTTGCTCTCCAAAAGTTTAAAAGGATTCCCATTAGCTATACGTGACACATCTAATTTTTCAGAACATCATTTGCAGCTTCTAAAACAATAGATTTTAAAGCCAAGAAAACTGTAGGAAGAAACAACATTCAAAATTACCTTTCCCAGTTTTCATTCCATGTTACGTTGTAAATTAAAATTAAAATACAGACCATTTCTGAAAGAAAGTTAGCTCATTCTTACTAAACTCTGGGTATAGAGACACTGACTGTTCTGGAAACTGGAGGGCAAATGAAAAACACATTCACATTTCGACACTGATCTAATCACTTTCCCCTTCCTTTGCCTCCCAAAGTGAAAACCCAAAGACAACTCCCACAGATTTCTTACCATTTTATAAAGATCTGAAACACTGATCTGATCGGAATCCACAACCTCGAAGTCCTTCCGAGGAACTAAATCTAGGCCCAAATGTCTGCAAAAGAGAATGAAGGAACAACAGTAATTATAATACATTAGAGTGGTCACTATTATCTACAATATGTGCTTACTCAAGGCAATGATACAAGCAATATGAAACTATTTAAATCTTTTTGCAATTATTCATCATTAAACAGCTAATCCTTCTAAATAAAATCAAATGCAAATATCAAAAATACACTATGAACGTGTTACTTTTTGTTCACTGACTTCAGTGCAGCTGGGGCAATTAGTGAGAGGTGAAACTTTTGGCCAATATATTGGCGCAGAATCCGGAACAAGTTAATTTCATACATGGAAATGCAGCAGGCAAATAAAGTTGATACTCTGGTTTCAGCTGCATGACTTGAGTAGGTTCCTTCAACACATAATGAAGGAGTTCCATTAGCAACCCTGTTCAAATGTGCAAATAGATACTGCACCTTGGGAAGCTGCTTTGGAATTCCTGGTGTTCATGCAACTAAATCCCCAACTTTATTATTGTATAAACAGTTGGGTTTTTTTTTTATAACACACAATAACTACAACAAGAATTTTAATCTGTATTTTTAACACACACATACCAAAAAAAAACCCTTTTAATTACTCTGAACTGAGATAACAGCTTATACATTTGATTTGAGCCAAAATATTTTACCAAAAAAAAAGCATACCAGTGTAAAGAGGGTGATTAGTTAAAAGATTCTGCAGTAAAGAAGGCAGTTCAGGTCATAGCTGCACGTGAACAGTAGGCAGCATAAGGTATTTTGCATCCAGAGAAATAAATTAACAACTATTAACAATATTAAGTAATAATTGCAGAGCGTAGAACAAGACAACCTAAAAGGTGCCAAAACCCAACTTTTGCTTCTTAGCTCTTCAGGTTCTGAGGCATAAGTAGACCTGAGCATTAGAACAGAAAGCTATTCTAAACACATACATCCAGGATAGAATTGAAATTGAAAAAACAGCCGAATGAACCATTTTCCTGCTTTCATCTTCTGTAACTGCGATACTTCATTTACAGATGTTTTATACTGAAATACTTTATAGGCTTAGAGAAAAAAACAAATCAGAAGAGGTGCCCTCATGGACCACCTCTGCACTCTGACACTAAATTGACTTTCTCTTTTCCTTTGTGATCAATTTTGTAATCAGAGAGGGAAACATCCTGCATAAACTTGCTCCTGATGGCAAATGAAAAAATTCATTGGAAACAACCTCTCAGGTACTGCAGAGTAATTGTACGGTGCAATAAACAGAAGGCTCCAGGCAACACAGCGTGTCTTTCTGAGCAATGAACTTAAGACAGCAGCCTGGAAGGACACACGGTTTGTATGAAGCCCTTGATGCGTGGTTTGTGTGAAGAACCTCCACTGACTGCTGAGTTTACCCATAAGTTTCATTATGTTCCTCCCTAATTCTTGCTGAAACTTTGTTTAATCAGGTTTTCCTTTAATTATATCCCTAAACCATAACATCTCAAAAATTAAGCTCAGCCCTAGGCCACTTGCTGGCAAAAAACCGTTAGGCACTGCTATAACTGCGATTTAAATAGTGTACTGACAAACTGCAATTTCCACATTCTTAGTTCTTTGCCAAAATTAATTATTATTTTCAATGGAAAAAGGAATAATATTCCCTCTTCGATGCAGTTTTCATGCCAAATACTGGTTTCTAAACTCTAAGGCTAAATTGTGAAAGTGATGGTTATACAGCTTTCCCATGCTTCGTTTTGATTAAACCTGACAGACACAAGTGGCCCAAAACCAGTACCTGAAAGCTGCAGCTGCAAAAAGGAAAATTACTGTATCTGTTCACCAAATGAAAAGATTAAAATAAGAATGCACTAAGTAATCCTTAACCTGCAGCTGCTGCTTGAGCCTACTTGTAACAGAAACCTATAAATAGAAATATAAAAGAAATATAATTGAAAAAGGATGGTTAACAGCTAAAATAGTGACATGCAAAGAGCCACCACGAAAGTTTGTTTTAAAGAAGTTAATGCTCATCATTTTCACAGAGTTTTCCTGAATCTGAAATCTAAACCACCTCCAAAATTCCCTGTCACTCCCAGGTAAACACACCCACCCCTGAAGTACATTCATAAAGGAATTTCTCCTCAACATACAGATATTAACAAATTATTTCCTAATAATGTTATCAAGCTCGCTTTTAAGTGCATTACAGTTCCAATGCAGTTACAAAGCACTATTAAAGCTTCACAGAAAAAGCTGCCAAAGCTAAGCAATGGTCTGATACTGTTCTATTCTCCTAATTTCAACTCTCCAGAGAACTGAGGTCAAACAGTGGTTGGACTCATTACTCAATTCATGACAAAGGTATTATCTTCTGCTTAATAATGTTCTGCACAACTGCAGTGGCATCTCTGTGAAACTTATCCGATATCCTATTTTTAGTTAAATCCCTTAACACCATGGATTTTCAACCCAGAAGATTCTCATTCTCTAATACTATGTTAATCCTGCACATTACTTGCCCCCAGCAAATAAAGGTGCCTTGTGCTTTAGTACTAACATGCTGCCATTTATTGTGCACGTGGAAGTCTGGGTTTATGCACTTTATTTGTGTCTTCTATTTGTTCCCTGCGAAGGACTGACAACGTAACGCTTGACATGGCAACACTAGTCAGTGCCCCAATTTCACTCTCCAGTATCAAACACTGTGGGAATGTAAGAGCACCAGCTGCCAAGCAGTATTTCTCCACAACACAGCATGCATAAAAATTAGATAATGTGCTGGTTTGTTTATGTGACAGTTCCTCTCTCCACAATACTTTATTTTACAAGCAAATTTATGTGCTTTCTGTTCTGCTTTAACATTGAACTGCCTTTCAACAATATTTCCCAAGCATACCAACAGAATTGCCCCAAAGCCTCTCAATTAGCTCTTGATAGCATATGCCTGGGATAACTCCACCTGAAATTTAGATATTCCTCCTCTTCTACATAGAAGTCTTGAGAAATTTCCTTTTTTTGGAGAAAAAAGGAATTAAAAGTCCACCACACGCTGTCTCTAGGTGTCTCACAACTAATATGGAAACAGGCTGATAAACAGAAATAGCACTTTCAATACTGAAAGGGATGGCCATCAGACTACTTCAGATTAACTGGGCTTCTAGATAAAGTCAACTTGGTTTAAACAGTAAGTTCAAAGAACAATCCTCATTTCTAACCTTTTCATTTCCTTATAATACAAATGCTACACCATTTAGAATTCCTAAAACCCCAAGTTAGAACAACTCTTCCTAGAAGAATATTACAGAAATAAGTCATCTGACTAAAAAAAAAAAATGCCTTTAAGCTGCACATCCACTCTTAAAGAACAGATTGGGAGAACTCATCACATCTCTAGAGTGTGCAAGATCTCATCCCCTTTGCTCCATAAATGTGCACTTCACCTTGACTCTTTTCAGCTTTAATGTTACAGCCACCCATTTGCCTTGTGCTCCTTCTCTCACTGTATCAAAGCCTCATTCTAAAGGTGGTGAAAGGAAAGGAAATGATCCTGACAGTGATTCCCATGGGTTATGTGCAGACTTCGAAAGAAGACTTTGAAAGAAATACCATGGAAAATGAAATTGATTAGAAACATGTTTGTGAAAGTTTTCTGGGCAAATACAACTTACTTGACAGAATCAAGTTATTTTAAGTTATACAAAAACTGCAGGGGCTGTAATCTGTAAAGAAATTAGTAAAGCACTGATGTAATGCCACACAGGAAATTATTTCTTAACATGAAGCTGATGAGATGAAGGTAAGCAATCCTAGTGAGGAACTGATTAAAGGAAATGGCGGCAAACACATCTGAGCATGGGAGTACAAGACCACAGAGAGAGGTAATTAAGGCTTCCCCCAAAGACTGATATCCAAAAGTTTCTTACAGTTTTAATCCTTATTCAACCGTTACTACAAGTATATTCAGGAGAGAGAAAAAAAATACATGTTTAGAGAGAAATGGCAACTATCCTTGCAATCTTAAGGGCATTTCATTATGGTTGTTTAAACCGTTCGCTCCTTTCTATTACCTGCAACAATAACAACTACAGTATTAAGAAATTCTTTAACTCTCAAACTGATTTCCAGCTATTACGATCTCATATGTACATTTAATACGTATCTCCAACTGCATTTTATGAACTTTGAGCTAATAGTTGCAACATTGCCAGGAAGTGATTATTATTCCTTTTACGTCAATTAAAAAAAAAGACACTAAGGTATGTCACTCAGAGTCCAAAAATAATCTTCTCAGGATGTGAGCGCTGAAATTTAGGACAATTTTAAAAACTATGCTTACTTCCCTGGATCACACTCTTCCCTCAACAGTGTAATATATGTTAGTAGCCAGTAGGTACTAACATTGCAACTGTCAATGGCTTTGCGACTTCAATTTCGATGGAAGAGGAAGTCCATGACTTTAAAACAGTGCTTCATTTTATTTGTATGACAGTGTCAAAGATTTATTTCTAACATCACACACACACACACACACACACACACACTACTCTTCCTTCTCAACGTTCATTTGTAACTTTTGGCTCTCTGTGGATCTTTCTGTGCAGAATTTATGGCAACTATTTGGAAGATTTCTTTTAATGCAATGACTTCAGTACCATTTTATGTGAAAAAGAATAACCTTTGACTAAAAAGTAACAGAAGCCCACAAACTCATCTTCTTTATGGCTTTTACCTCTCAAAAATCGCAAACTATTAGTGGTTCCCCACGCCCTACGCCGCTTCTGAACCTGAATAGAGTATCCATCCCCACATTTATAGCAAAGAAGTGTCTTCCCTCAGTATAAAAAAGAAATTCATTGTGCTCAGAAACCTGGATGCTTTCTGTTAATCTCCTGACAGGTTTTATATTAACCTGAAAGAATCAATCCTGAAAATGTTTAAGATGACCTCTGATTTTTACGTTCTATTAGTTTAAAGAAATCTCATCTGCCCTTTTGTTAAGTAAGATAAGCACATACTGCTATAATAATTTTTTGCACTGGAACAGAAACATTTCAAACAGAAGCTCTGTGAAATTCTTTCATCTGTTTTTGATGCCAAAGACTGTAGAATGAAACAGTTCTTTTACTAAAGGTTAATTCTGGTTTCCCATTCTAATCACTAGTAAAAGTTGAAAAACTTAACTATTCATTAGACAAAACCCCACAAAAACAAATAATTCACAATCAAGTTTCTATTTTACTTACAATATGATTTAAAATGAGATGAAGCACTGCAGATTTAACTCCATAACATGATTTAAAATATTATGATAAACTGCAGACTTCAGCTTCATGTTTTCTTTGCTTCCTGCTCTACAACTCTCCCCTTGTTATTTACAGACCATTGGACAATTCCAATAGCATTTCAGACTTCAACAGATCAATAGTCTAATAAATTGTATCCAAGTGAAACATTTTTAAAAACACAAGTATTTGTAACATTCTGTATAAAAAACATGGCAAGATTTCTAGGAAAAAAAGACAACATCCGAGATTTCACCTGTACAAAAATACACAGAAGGATGTTTAAAACTGAAAGTCTAAACCCACTAAGATGCTTACCTGAACACAGTAAATTCTGCTCTTTTGAACAACTGGCAAATACAGCGGTAACACTCATTATATGCACAGAAATCCAAGCTAACTGTGGGCAACTGGTAAAAGTAATGAAGCATCATAAAAAAGATGCATCCAGGATCATATTTTTGTCGTGGGGAGAAAACGTGTAAGCAACAGAAAATTAAGTTGCTACAGGAAGTGGACATCAGTATTGCATTATACGAACTACTAGTAACAATACAAAAGGTTAGCAGCAGTAACTGTAAAATAAGTTCTATTTCTACACTTTTAATAGACCAAACTACAGAGCAAAACCTCTTAGACTAAGTATACAGAAATAAGAAAAATTCCCTGTAGTATTTCTGAAAATAGTCTGATTCCTTTTACAAAAAGTTTTTTACTTACTAATCCAAAGAGTGCATTTGTCCCTTGATCTCCACCAACTCCCATGAGAACACCAAGGATGACTACCAGAACCACTGCCAGTGTATTTAAGGGAAAATGATACCAGCTCAACAAATGGAAAAAAAACTAACTGCTGGTGACAGAAGTGTGACTTTCATCCCAAATAATACAATGGATTAATGATCAAGGTGAGGATAAAAGTAGCTTTACACTAGATAAGCATACATGCTACATATTGAATGTGTAAGATCACCTGTTTCCTGAAAGTTACGTGGTCATGGAATGTCTCAGATTGAGCAAGTCTGTAACTATTCAAACTAGTACAAACTGCATGGATTTAAGGTTCTCAGTTAACATTAAGGAACATTAGTAACATTTTTCATTTCTTTTATTTGCAAGTGTCAAGTATACCAGCAATCAACATTCTTTTATTACATTATTTGAGAAAGGGCAGCACTATCTGAATATGTATCTGAAAATCATTAGGATGTTTTTTGAAGATTAAGCCAGGTGGTCATGAGTTTTATGATAGACTCAGGAGAAGGGAGGCACAAGAAAGTGCCAGGATCTCCCAGAAATTCCGCAGAAAAGAGTGATTTTGCAGAAAGACCTTCCAAAATCCCAGACTGCAGGGTGTACAGATTTCATTAAATACCTCTGCACTCACATGCCTTTTTATGCAGTTCCTTTATTAATACCCTCTTCTGTTTAAGCATGTATCTCTGATAATATACACCTTTTACTCTAGGGAAGTGAGTCCCTGTTATTATGTAGTAAGAAACACAAATATATTTTTCCTAAATAAGCGTCCTGAGCAGATTAATTTAATTACATATTTATATTTACTGTTTTCACTGATGCTTCTCCATAATTGTCATGTATTAGAATTACCTTTATAGTTTTAATGTACTTTGTATTTAATGATTTTACATGAATAAAGATGTCTATAGCCACCTCACTGAACAGGCTATTTTCTTCACTGCTGCACTCATGTCTACTCTCCTCATCTTTTTTTCTTCTAACATTTTTGCAGCTTCCTGATGCTGATTTTATCTATACATTCTTTGAATAAAAACATCTAGGCATAATGTTCAAAAATGGTCTCTTGGTTCCATTTACTCCACTGGGAATAAAAATGGAAAATATCTGTAACTTGGCACTGCAGAACAATGACTTGATGCAATCTATTAGTCTATGTCCTTCAAAGCTTGCTTTCAACAAGAGAGAAATGAAACGTAGCATGGGAGCTAGTCATATCTTGAACTTAGTCAAGTATGTCCCTCAGAGGGAGTCCTGAAGTAGGTGACTAAAGAACAGAGTCATAACAAAGATACGTTAGTGAAAAACACTTTACTTTCTTCCTTAGCTGTCAACATCCAGAATTCCCTCCTGCCCCCATATATTAATTAGCACTAATCCTCCTCCTAGTTGAAAAGCAATGTCTGAGGAGGGGGAGATTTCCTCTGAAAAGGCCATGTGCATTTTATACAAAACTTACTGTCTGATAACATTGTCAGAACAAAACCAACTCTGGTGAAGGGTTAGTTTTTGTCTAATGGCCATTTATTTCCATTTCGGCTTTTATCTGAATTGCAGTCATCTTTGGCTCTGAAAAAAACCTCTCAGCAAATTCACCATGGAACTGACCAAAGAGAGCCTAAACCTCTGAGAAATTACTTTATCTAAAATAAAGTCTAAATATCACACCTCCAGCTCCAATGTCACTGCTGCCAGCGAGATCCTCTCATTGCGCCAACCATGAAAACACTTCTTCAATTGAAAAAAATGTGGATTTAGTATCTATACAAACATCATCCCAGGCCTAATATTCACTACATTCATATAAAATATGTAAAGTGACCTAATCCTTTTAAAAGTGCAGAGAGACTTGGAAAAGGTCTACTAATAAGCAAACAGCTCGTTTTATAGTAATAGTAGAAGAACTAAGCAATAATCTCACTGTAAATGTTATATTTGATTTCCAGATACTCAAAAGTTCTTCTTGTGTACAAATACTAGTGGAAGGTAAAAGCTGTTGGTTGTTTTGCTTGTATGTTTTATAAAAGCTATTTCGAAACAATCAGAACAAACAGTACCCAGCTGGTACCTGTACTTACTCATTGCCCCAGTCCAGCCTCACTGTGAGGTGTCTCTTGACCTCTCGCACCTGATCCTGTGTCAAGTGACCTGACAGCAGCTGTCTACGTAGGTCAATGAGCTCATTCATCACATGCCGCAGTTTGTAGAAAAGATCTACCTTATGTTTCTGTAAAGGCATATTTTTGGGAGGAGAGGGGAAGAGAGTGAGAAAGAAATAAAGGGGGGTGGGGGAGGAGGGGAGAGAAAGAGGGAGGGAGAGATTAATAAGTTTGGAAAGAGAAAAAGTGTGAGAAAGACAAAGAGAGATAAAGAGAAAGAGATTAATAAGTTACCAAACTTTCATTTATTACCCTACAGGAACATTAATCGACTTCGTACAAGCTTTAAAATAGTTCTATCAAAAAGCAGAGTTAACTGATGCTACTTAACCTGAGTAACTTTGTATTTCTAAAAATTCAGGTTCAGTCTGCTAAGGGGTCCATTTTCTGACAGAACCTCATGCTGCTGATAAGAGGATTTATTATGTACAGCAGGAATCACTTATTTCAATCATATAATAAATCCAGTATTTTAGATTTCAAGTAATGGAGAGGTGAAAAAGTTGTTTTTCTGCCAGTCAATAACATCATGGCTCTGAACAGCAGGAACAATTCACCACAAAAGAAAACCACTCCTAATGTTTTTTATATCCCAGTTACTAAGACTGACACAGGTATCTATGTTGGGGGGGGGGATATGAATATCTGTTATCTGCACTTTAATATGGACTAAAGCAATTAATGATAAAATCCACCTGCAAAACTAATTTAAAAGATTAATATTACCATAGAGAGTACAAAAAAAAAAAACCAACCCCAAAGCAAAACCCACACCATACCCATCAGGAAAAATAAATGAAGTCTAAAACACCACCACAATCCTTCCTAAAAGGACTACTATTCTTTAGCATTCTTCAAATATGAGAGTGAAGAAAAGGGGAAGGGAGGGGAAAGCAAAACTAAACTCTCCAAGTCCAGCCAGAAGTGTAAATACTTTTTTGCCCCTGCAGGAAATAGATATATGGGAACCCACAAAAAGGAAAGTCTGAGGCTAACACCAAGGTACCCTAAGGCAAGGAAGCATGTCCAAACTATTCCAGATTTCTAGGTAAAAACTGTGTGTCAAGGCAGCTCTTTTCTACATGGCCATGTCTCACACTGCATAAAACTGCCAATGTGCAGTGAGTGAGGATCCCAAGTTGAAAGATAAAATCTCCTTTTACAGCAGAATGCTGTTTTTTAAACAAATAAGCACCATTCCCACTTGTATACAAAGCTTGAAATGCCTGAATCTCACTTGGGGAAACACTGACTGGGTGGCCTGAAAGTGAGACTTTCTAAGTTAGCACTGTCCTGGTCGTGTTTCTGCTTGTAAATGAGTGCTTTATAAAAGGCCTCTAAATAAAGATACCTGTGCTCATAAACTAGATCTGACAGAATAACATCACAAAGAAAAACAGAAGTGTTTTCTACTGTAACAAATTATTAGAAAAAAATGTTTTACCAAAAATAGGTAAGATGAGATGAAATTCCATCTACTTGAGTTCCTGAGAGACCACTAGATTTGCGTGACTTAGGAAAACAGATTTCAGTGCAATCCAGTTTGATCAGCAATTTGTGAACTTCTCTGAACCTGCTTATACATCTGTTTTGCTGAAGCAGGTTAAGCACAGATGGAATCATCTGGCATTCTTATCAAACAATATCGAGATGAAAAGATGCACAAGCTTTCAACTATGCACCAACATTGCTTCTGGCCCTGCCTGAAAAATGAAATACAGACACGAGATCTAACAGAAAGACATACATGTCCAGGGCTGAAAATACTTACTGTAGGAAGATAATTGTGCACAGCTATAAATATAAAATCACTAGATTTCTGGTTAGATCTTACCACTAGATGTGGTCCAAAGTAAATATAAGCTGAAGACAGGAAATATCCACTGTAATACACTATTAATGTGAACAAGTTCTAACTTCTAACACAAGGTGAAGACAATGGAGTTTGTGACTATCAAATAAGCAAATCTGGTCTATTTAAAAGGTCTTTTGGGTCTATTAGTAAAACAGTTGGCAATGAAATGAATCAGCACAAAAATCATCATGTTCAGACTTTCCAAACAGAACTGCTGAAAGAGCTACGCCCTCACTCTTGCACCGATGGTTCAAGGCTACCAGTGCACTCAAGTCCAGAACACTTTGCTTTTAAATTACACTATGTTTTTTTTACGTATTTTTACATAAGTATCACAAGTACTTACTTTAAATAGAAATGAGAAATGAGATTTTGGAACACAATTTTGTAAAAGCTGGTCACATTAGGTCCTATGCAGTGATTAAAAAAGAAAAACCCTCAAACTCAACCCTCTCTCGAGCCTCCAATCTCTCTCTTGTGCTCCAATATGCCCTTTTCAGTTCCAGTTCTCAGTCTTATCCTTCAAAAAACTGCTTTAAACAAAACGAACAAGTATCAATATTCAGAGAGCTAAACATATGTTGTCCTTTTCATACAACACAACGTCCTCTATAAGGAAGGAAGAAAGAAGGAGGAGGTATCAGCAAAGGGAAAGCAGGGAAGCTGTAGCTGTGATCTCAGGCAAACAGTTATGAAGTGAACCATAGATGCAAAATCCATTAAAGTTAAGGAAATTACTTGTGTGAAAGAGGAGGTAGAACAGAGTTAAATGTAGCTTAACTCCAGGCTAAAAAGAGTTTAAAGCAGTCAAAAAGCAGTTTATAACAGCCCTCCTCACACCACAAGACTCTAGGGACTAATAAATTACATTTCTGGGAGGAGGAGGAAGATGCACAGATTTTAATGGCTGTAGTCAGAGTAGCACCATAAACAAACCTCAAAACTTTATCATCTTGAAAGCAGCTGAGTAAGAAGACACCAGTCAATCTGGTATGCAAGCATCCATTCTCTTTTACAGTCAATTTTCCTACAACCTATAACCTCACAGTTTTCACCTGGCTTTGTCACAAGCTACGCAGCAATGAACACTTGGTCAGTCCATCCAGAATGATCTGCTCTGCGCATTTAGGAACATATTTGGCAAATGCTTCACATCCAGAATATAAAAGCATTTACAGAAAAACTTTGGCAGTAATAATGAGGTGTGTCAGGGATAAAGCATCTGGACAGACCTGATGAACTGCGGGCTCTCTTGTCACAAACAGCACGTCTGTCCTCAAGCACATCTTGTTGCCTTATTTTACTATCCCCAGGTACAAACCCATTTGCTGCATTGGCTCTGTTACTACTAACAAGTTACACTTATCAACACCTGGATAATCTTCACATTGACAGCTACACATCAAAAGGCAGAGTTGTGGCAGTAGGGGTTTTCTTCCCTTTTACTGACTCCATATTAACTCTGTGGCGAACAGGTCAGGAGATGGTTCTGGGGTTGGTTGTGGTGGGCTGACTTTGACCTTTGCCAGGTGCCCCCCCCAGCCACTCTCTCACTCCCCCTCTTCAACAGACGAAGCAGGGAGGAATACAATGAAAATATCTATGGGATGCGATAAAGACAGGAGATCACTTACCAATGACCGCCCCAGCAAAACATCCAGTTGGCAGAAATGTGTTTTATTGCCAGTTAAAATAGAGTTCGTTGGTGAGAAACAAAGACGAAACCCCCTTAAAGCCCCCTGTCCCCAAGACCCATGCCCTTCCTCCCTCCCAGCAGAGGAACTGGGGCTGGCAGTCCATAGCAGCTTCTCTCTGCTTCTCCTTCCTCTTCACACCCTTCCCCTGCTCCAGCTGGGTTCTGTCCCTGGGCTGCAGTACTTCAGGACAAGCCTGCTCCGTGCGCTCCTTCCCTCAGACCACAGTCACTCAGATACCTGCTCAGCTCCTCCTGCTCTGGCCAGCGTGCTCTGGCGCTGTTCCTCACTCTTTTTCTCCTCATCCTCACTGCCTGCATGCCCACTTGCTGCTTCTCCACCCTGCTCTCCCTGAGGCGCTGCCGGCTCGGCTAACGGGCTCAGCTGTGCCCTGAGGCCGCCCTGTGCTGGAACCGGCTGGAACCGGCCTCTCCCCGCAGGGACTCGGCATGGCGCACACCTGGGCACGGCCCCAGCGCAGGTGACGGGGGTTAAGGGGAACCACAAACCCAAGCCGCTCCCCGCTGCGTGCCCACGGTGGCTCTGAAACACGCAAGCTGCCTTTGCCATCCTGCTGTGAAGAAAGACCACGTCATGTGAGACTATCTGGAACGCTGTATTATGGAGGATAACCTATTTATAGTCATTTTGTCACCACGACTTCATTTAACACGACTCTAACGAAGTCAGGATTTGGGCTCTCTCGGGAGCAGCCCCTTCAGAAATTTCCTATAGCATTGCCTCAGGCTATAATGGGGGAGAAGGCACCAAAAGTTATTTTCTTTATAAAAGCAAGTGAATAGCTTTTCCCAGGTTCCTCGTTATGGATTTCAGTGCCTAAATTAGATATTAAAGCCTGCAAACATCAACAGCACATGAAAGGAAATGCTAAAGCTGAAACGACACCAAACTCATCCCTTTCTTTTCAGTTTTGTCTCGATTTTTTAATTAAGCAAATTATTTTATAGTAAAGCTCTGATGGAGTTCATAGATTTGTGCAGTAATTACAGCTTAATCTTACCACAAATCTCTACTATTATTGCCATGCAAACCTTAAACAGTACCCATCAAATCAGACAGTGTTCAAGTGCCTGTTGATGAATACAGATCAGGTTTTACAGGTCAATACAAGGATGTCTCAAACAGGGAAAGAAACTGAAGTAAAGCTTGTGGGGGAGATGTGATAGCGCACAGGTATCAAGCCTGCCACCCACAGAAAAGCAAAGCAATCTGAGTATGCAATTAGTACTTGCACATATTCTTGCAGTCTATGTGTATGTCTAGACATCTTGTCCCGTTTGATGACAGAACTAAAATGGACTCCAGTAACAGTTAAAAAAATACAGAAAGGAAATAAGAAAAAAGCAAGAATAAAGTTGAGTAAATTACACCCTCTCCCAGCTAAAACTGCAAAGTACATTTATGAAGGGTCATGGTACCATCCTGGAGTCTGGGGCTGAGCTCACACTTCTTGCACATCACACCGTTGAGTGTTCAATAAATAACATCAGTCTTTCAA